ATCGGCCACAACCGAAGCTAGGGGCATTTGAGAGAGTAAATGCAACGCCATCTGCCACTTGCTGCCCTTCTCGCACGCGCTGATGCCGGAGTTGATGCTAATCGCATTGGGCTTCACTTGCTTCCGAGGCATTCTTGACAATAGATCTAGTGCAACCTGCCATTCGCAGCCTTTCTCACTGGCGCTGATGCTGGCATTATAAGTGATTCTGTTGGGCACAACCCCGGCTGCAGGCATCCGCGACAGTAGATGCAGGGCCGTCTGCCACTCGCCGCCCTTCTCGCAGGCACTGATGCTGGCATTGAAGCTGATCGTGTCGGATGCAGCTCTGCATGCAGGCATGGTTGACAGTAGATGCAGGGCCTCCTTCCACCTGCCAACCTTGGCACATGCACTGATGCAAGCATTGAAAGTGATCACATTGGGCACAAGTTCAGCCCCTGGCATTTGCGACAAGAGATACAAGGCCACCTGCCATTCGCCTCCCTTTTGACATGCGCTAACGCTGGCATTATAACTGATCCCATTCGGGAAAACTCCAGCTGCAGGCATTTGGGACAGCAAATGCAAGGCCATCTGCCACTCACAGCCCTTTTCACACGCGCTAATGCCGGCATTAAAGCTGACTACGCTTGGGACGATCCCGCCTGTGGGCATTCTCGACAACAGATGCAGGGCCGTTTGCCACTCGCTGCACTTCTCACACGCACTGATGCTTGCATTGAAGCTGAATACGTTCGGCGTAGTTCTGACCAGCGGCATCTCTGACAACAAGTGAAGCGCAAGCTGCCATTGCAAGCCCTTTTCACAGGCAGTGATCGCAGCGCTGAAGCTGTAAACGTCAGGCAGAGCCTGCGCCGCAATGTACGACAAAACTTGGAGTGCCAACTGCCACTGCCGTGCTCCAGCATAACACGAGATAACTTCACGAAAAACCCTCTGATCCCTGTATGGAGGCACATCCTGCAGGAGGCAGACCACAGTTTGCCACTCCTGACTTTCGCAGCAATCGCGAATCGCTGCCAGGGTTGCACTTCTGTTCAGGCCCCCAGATGCCATTGATGCCATAATCACGATAGCTCGGGTCCAAGAAGCTAACAACAGCCTGCTTGATGGAAACAGAGAGCTCTTGACTCTTGACGTAGTGGGGAGACTAGCATGTTTTCTCACCACGCCTGGATGCGGTGCGAGACACTGTTCTCATGCAAGTGGTTCTGCCAGTGCTGACCCTGACATGCTTTGCGGGACACTGTTTTCGTGCTCCAGGTGGAGCAAAGTTCTGCCGGCCAAGGCAGATGCTCCATGCCCCACATGCTGCAGCACATGTTGACCCAGGCAACTCTCCGTGTTCTGATTGCTTCATCAGCACACTTTCGCCGAAAATCTGTGACCGCCCCAGATGTTGAGCCAAACAGCGAGGCGATGATGTGCAGTCGCGCAGCTTGCAATGACATTTGCAAGATAGCCACGTAGCAGGTACGTCTCCAAGGTTTCCATTGGATAGATAAAACAAATGTACACATGTGTTCACGGGGCAGCGAACAACATGTTCCACGCATCCTTCTGCCGTGCCGAACTAGTCACGGCGAATACAGCGTTTTCCGCACTGACAGAGACAGTGCCTGTCCTTGTGGGATACTTTGTCGAAAACACAGAGCAGACCTAATTGCCAATCCCTTCCCCCTAACCCTGAAGATAAAAACCCTCCCAAAACCCGGTCCGGCAGTCGCCCCTTTCAATATCTCTACAGAATTAGTAATTAGGGGGCGGGGAAGCCTGAAACTTATTCGGCCTAGAGCTTGAAACCTGCTCTATGACTGAGCCCGCAAGCTACAAGGACTGGTTGTCTTGTTCGGACAAACGATCAGAACCCCTCCCCTATTACTGAAAACCCTTTCGGGGTTTTGGGGGGTGTTAATACTGCACCAGCAGCCCGCGACATCCGAAACACGCACGCCAGCGTGAAGCTGATATGCCCTTTCGCTCAACACTGCTTGACACTTGTTTCAGAGCCTTCATGGCAACTTGATAGCCACAGGCAGAAACGAAAGCTCCGTGACGCGAGTGTTTTTTTTTTTCAGAGCAAGTAGACCCCAAACAGGCGTCGAATGCACCCCCGGCTCCATGGCAGACCCCCTGCGCCGACGATGCGGCCAACAAGGGTCGCCAGGGCGTCCCAGCAGCACCGCCAGGCACCCCAGCCGGCGAGCATCAGCGGCATCAGCCCGGTCCCGTTTCTCCTCAGAAAGGCACAAAAACGAGACCACGCCGAGGCCCCGAGAAATGCTGGCCGAAATTGGGTGGGGGACGCCGAGCCGGAGCCGCGATTTTTGACCCGACCCCCGCCCCCCCCACACCCCCCCATGGCTCCGCCCCAGCCCTGACGGGGTACTGAACGACAGCTCTCCACGGGGGAGCTTTCGTGATCAAAAAACCCGTGCTTGTGTCAAACTGGTTTTTGGATTTTTGGGGGAGGCCCCGACTTTGTGGTTGTGGCCACCGTCTAGGGACGAAGCCATCCAGGTGCACCACTACAGGTACAGAATTACACATCCACAATCTCAATCCTCCTGCTTCGTGGGATTGAGGTGCTATGCCCCCTGGCGCTGCATGCGCTATAAAGCGCCCTGCTTACAATGTGGCGCATTGTGGGCGCTCTCTTCCGGATTTCCCCGCACTGGGGCACAAACCTGGCGCAATACAAGCACTGCCGATTCCTTAGCCCTTAAATGCGCATGTGGATCGCGACTCCTTGCTTGTGGAACCTGGTTCTACACACAGCCACACTCACCCTCACACTCACACTCCCACACACCTACCCACATGCACGCACCCACTGAAGGCACATCAAATACTAGATACTGGAGAACGGAGAAATTGAAACAGCGCACGGCGAGCACAATATACGACAATCGTACTACATTGTTCGCAGGTATGCGGAGTTGATTGGCCTCCATGTCAGCCCTTTCATAATTTTCCCTCACGGGGTTACCCCTCTGCTTTTTGCACGAGGCCCGTGTGAACCTGGATCACACACACCCATGCGCACGATGTTGCACAAACACGCACAAGAAACAAGCTTGGTTTGTAGGTAGGGGCTGATAGCTTGTGCTCGAAGAAGTATTTCTTGTCGATCCTCAGGTAGGTTGCTTGAGTACTTTGTTTACCCCCTCTCAAGCCCACAGCGAGATGATGAGCACGCGCCAGGCCACATCCCTGGTCTCTGGGGGGTTGCATTGCGGAGACATCTAATTCGACAGTCGACCACTTCGTTCAACAAATCGACTTCGCCAGAGCTGGATGGAGTTTCCAGATTTTGTTCAGGCTCACTTCTCGCGGGGAGAGTAACAAACAAAACCTGGAATGCACGCAAAGGGAATGTGGGACCCACTATGACCCACGCATCTAGAGAGAGGAATACGAGGGGGAGAGCGAGAGAGAGAGAGAGGGGGAGGAGGAGCTCCTCCTCCTCCTCCTCCCCTCCTCCTCGAGGAGGAGGAGGAGTAGGAGGAGCAGGAGGAGGAGGAGGAGCTTAATGAGCTTCAGAATTACCCTAAGCCCAGAACCTGAGGGCTTAGAGTTGAGGATTTGTGGATGTGTGTGGTCTGGTATCTGGTTGAAAGGCTTTGGCCCCTGAGCTCCTTTTTCACGCGGAAGACACAACACCTACGACCAGCCTGCGGCATGTATCATCGTAATGAGTCGGAAGGTTTAGATACATCTTGATGTGTCCTGGTATCATTGACAAGCACGGAATACCACGGACCCAGCTTTTCGCTCCGAAGCAACTACGGGCGTCGCCAGCGAAAGCTTGGTCAGCCCAGGAGCTCCTCACCTTACAGGGTTCTGATCGCTTCGACTGCGCCAGTTTGTAACTTGAGCTGCTGAACCAGGCATTATCTGCGGTTTCGCAGCCACACCAATGCGCTTCCCAGCAATGCTAAACTTTCGTCGGACAGCTGCAATTACCAGAAACTGAACGCTGCACGAAACCCGTGGAGCTGCTGCACTACCTGGCAAAGATCCTGTGCTAGAACTCCTGCAGAAGTGTCTTCGTGACCGGCATGTAGCAAAAAATGTCGGATTGTTCGGGCCAGCAAAGATGCGGTGAAAATGAGGAGCAACATCCTAGGTAAGACCCTGGTGTGCAAAATTGACGAGGCAGGACGTGAGCATGAGCATTGCCTGCCCAAGTTGTTGCATCATGAGCATCATCCAGGCGTTTTTCAAATCACGTGGCCTGCTGGGCTCCAAGCATTGAACAGAGGTAAAGATATGAAGGGAATTAAACGGTCAAAAACCACCCGAAAGAGGTTAACAGCCCAGTGAAATAGGTGATTCAGTGAGGATATTAAGTTGGCGTGTTAAGGGCCAGGGTCTTCGAGGCAGTAACAGTAATAAGAGGACTCCAAGTTCCAGGATGATGTGGTGAACAGAGGATAAGGTATGAAGGGAACCAAGAACAGAAACAGTATAAGATTCAGGAAGTGGTTGAAGGATTCCTCTGATGATAGTCAGGGAGTCAAGAGTGAGGAAAGGTGACATGGAAAGACCGCGTGATAAGACCCAGAGATTCCAATATTAATCCTGTAATGCTGTGAAGAGAATATCATATTGAATTTACAAAGAATGCGTGAAATTCAATATAATATGAACGTGACCCCCAAAAGACCCTTAAAATAGTATTAAATTAGGGGGTCTTTTGCAACGTTCATATTGCTGGGCCTGAGGGATCATGAGCCTGACTCGTGTGGGGCAAGAGTGAGACAAACACCCCACATGGAACAGCGACTTGAAACAAAACGGGTCACAGGATCATCAACCCAAGCCTTGTTGGAATCTAGCCACAAGAAAGAATAAACAACACCGGATCACGGGATGCTGCGGGCTCGAAGCGTTTCGCATCTGCCGAAAATCACCTCCGACAGATCTTTGCCCACTGCCGCCTTTGCACTGCGCAAAGCGCCTAAAGCGCCTGCAGGCAATCCTCCGCGGTATCGTCACGCCTTTGGCCTCGGTTCAAGGTCAAGGATCATGCATGATGCCCTCTGTGAGACAGATGAAGCCTGGTCGCAGCAATACCAGATCAGCCTCAAGCTCATCGTCGCTGGCCACGACCATGGGGCGGAGCCGCTTTGCTGGTCGGCCACTTTCATCCGGCCTTATACAGCGAAAACAAAGGCCTGAGATGCAATATGATGCAATGACAATTGAGGGTGGAATTGCAGGGATATGGCTGTGCTTGTAGCTATCGGCATATCCTTGACCAAGCAGCTCGGGCTCAGACTGATGGCCTGGGATGGATATGACCTCTCGCATCGCCAAGTCATCAGAAGTGGAGTCCGAATCGCAGTCGCCTCCAGAACTTTCTCAAGGCACCCCTCTACTCTGCGACGCAGGGGGCATCATGGATCGCGCCGAGGTGCGCAGATCCACGGAAATCTTTGGAGCCTTTGGCTCCAGCTTGTCGTGGTGTCGCGGCTCTGGTGGGCGTTCCGGCTCTTTAGCGCGTTCCAGCACAGTCTGACGGACCCTTGCCTGCACGAGCATTAGCAACAATTCCGAGCACGTACGACATGTCTTCTGACCCACAGCCTTCAAGAGCCTTAATAAATATAGAGCAAATGGGACCAGAAATTCTGCGAACTCCTTTGCTGTGTTCTCCAAGTCTCCAAACTGTTTCGGGGGATCATGAGGCCAATGAGCACTGCACCGCTCGTCAGCTCACATCTCACCAAGGATGTGCCTTTTTCGCCAAGCAAAGAGCATAAGAAGTCCCAGTGCACCAGTATCTGTCCGGTCAGCATGGTTTCCACCAGGTTCCGCAAACCGGCTCTACATTCACCTTCCAAGCATGCGAAGCACAACCCAGCGCACATTCGAATGTCATGTAATTCCCAAAGGGATTGCAAGAATCCGAGCGGCTGTTTCCGCAGTGATGCTTCCTCTGCCGGTGGATGCATTGTTGTGCTGATTCCTCGTGCTGCCGCTCCCAAGGCTCTCTCGCTTCCTCCGCTGTGACGGCGAGGAGGGCACTGGATCGAAGCCGTTTCAGTGTGCAGACGTGGCCATCCATCTGATTCTTCGGGCTGTCATGCGGGTAGATCAGCCTCGCATAGCGCAACTCAGGCTGGGAAAGCTACTGTAAGCCAGTATATGCACAACCAGAGTAAGGGAACGGAGGGAGCGAGGGCCTCTCTCACTCAGCTGCACTTGGCCTAGGTCTAGACTTTAGACGGAATGCTGACAGTCGAAGACAGCCATACGGGCAGGACCCCAGCTCATAAAGAATCTCGACCAAGGTCTCTGGACGAATTATTCCAGTGTTTTCAGCCATCGGTGAACGTTGAGACAACTGAGGGTTTTTCGAAGGGCTTAGGCGAAGTTTGTGGGTACGCAATTTTCAGGCATAGCTGCATAGCTGCTTTTGCCTCAAAGCAGCGTGTAGCATGTGGCGCCATCGGCACTGTCGCGGACCACCCTGCGCCGGAGAACGAGCAAGGCTTCGGAGGCTGCCGTCTCCAAAGGGCGCAGGTAGAAGCCCTGTGCGCGGTCCTCCCAAGAAGCGGAAGGGATGCGAGCCCGGAACTGAGATCGACTGAAACTGCTCTCCTCATCTGGGGGCGCCTGGCGCAGAAGGCGACTGGCCATTTCAAAGGACATGCCGCGCTCGAGGCGCAGGTGACGCAGCTGCAGCCCACCTCAACGAGTGAGTTGAGTTTCACTCTGGAGGCTCCCTATATTCCCCATAAATTGCCTGAGAACTACTCCAAGAGCTGGGAGCCTTCCAATACCTCCGCCTTCAGCTCCGACACCTTCTGCAAGCGCCCCCAGCGGCCAGCATGATTTAGAGACCTTCACAAGTGAAGAAAGCTGCGGGTTTTGCTGCACATCACGAGTCCTCTGAATGTCAGCTAAGCCTGTGCTAAGAGGGGTGCACGACACCGGTGTCAAGAAGGCCGTCGCGACGATCAGCTTCTTCCAGCTTGGCAACGTGCGCTGAGAGGAGCTCGAAGAAGCCTTCCTTTCGACTTTTTTAAGCTCTCAAGTCTTAGGCCCCTACAAGAGAACTGCAAAAATGCATATGGCTCTCTCGATGCTCCCCCTGTCACGGAGAAGACAATGCGTGTCGACTGCAGCGTCTCCTGGGTTCGGCATCTCATGCCCAGCGCCCGGTTCAAGAACTTCTTGAGCCCTGCAGGATCCTGGTCTTTGCCTTAAGAGGGTGGCGTTCTGTCGCAGGACAAAGAAAAGGGCCCCTTAGTCCATGTAGCAGCACTGCTTGCCCTCCAAGCTGCCGTAGACGGGCAGCTTTTGAACTTCCAGGGCTTTCCGTGCATGTTCCACGAACTCATCCCAACCTACACATGGCAGTATTGGCAGTCTTGGCAGGATGAGCCGAAAACCATTCTGGGCAAGGAGCCTTGGGGCCAACTTATGAGATTCACGGCGATCGACGGCTTTCCATCCCGGAGGTCGGCCATGACCTTCAACAAAAGGTGGACAATTCAATGACCCCACGGAATGCTCGACAAAGCTCGCAACGTTTAAGCCACCACAGCTCTCCCCAAAGCCTTGCTCAAGCCCGCAGCTCCATATTTACTGCTCATCAGGTCAAGGCGGCCAAAGCCAAAGGCATCGCCTCGCGCTCCGAAGCCTTGGGAGTTGCCATCAAGGCGTGCAAAGCTTCCATATTTTTGTCATTCAAGGTTTTGGCACCACAACCGTTCATTAACTTGGGGATGTCGCTTTTCAGGTTGTTCGCCCCTTGCTTACTTGAATGGCTGGGGCTTTTGGCACTTGGGGCTGTAAAAAACCCCGATGGAAATGGGCTTGTCCCGAATATTGTTATCGTTTTTTTTTCTACTCCTTATCGTTTTACAGTGTTTGCACACAAAACACAGTATCTTCGGCTAGATTTCTTATCGTTTTACAGTGATTGCGTACACAAGGTAATGCTTCGGGGTACATGGCAAGCCATGGCTGGCTTGCATTCCGAAGCCTAGGTGGCTTCAACATCGTGGGTTTGAAGGGTTAACGGGTTTATAAAAAGAGTCTTAGCCCCCAAACCTGAACAACCTGTCGGCCCTCAGAGCCAGAGACCCCGAAATGTCAGCCACAGCGAGGTTTGTCAGGGCGGCTCACCCCCCTAGAGATCCGGAAACGTCGCCCACAGTGAGGTGTCTGAGGGGGGTTCACCCAGACAGCAAAAACCCTGCAAAATGTTATCGTTATTTTTTTTACTCCTTATCGTTTTACAAGCTAAACGCTACTCAGGCGCACTCCTTTCTAAACCGGGGTTATTTTACAACCCCACTTGCTCACGCGTCTTTGCGCCTGCACGACGATCTCCTTTGGTCATTGCGCCAAGTTGCCTTGCACGTCGGAGATTCTGTCGGAAGCTGCACATGTCTGGACAGGAGAAGTGCGACCGAGACTCGCTAGGCGCTTGGCAACAGCGGAGACGAAACGCGCTTCGCCAGCCAAGTCCGTGACCTTCATTATGAGCTTCATGCTCTCTCTCATGCTGTTTGCAGGAATCAAGAAACGCTTCTGCTCCCGAGCGTCGATACAAGTGAACTTTGGTGGATGCAGCTGGTTCGAGCGATGAACGCGCCCCAGCTGCTGCACCGCCTTGTCGGAAATTGGTTCGTATCGCGTTCGAAACGGACATTGCAGGAAGAACGCTGGTTCAGGTTCCGGAACGTACCTTTCTGGCCTTGTCGGCGGCCCAAGGTAGCTCGAGGCAAATCATTCGCCTTGCTCTTGGAGGCGGTGCGCCTGCAGAGTATGTCGGTTTCATTTTACATACTCGGCTCTTGATCACACGACACGGCGACACTGGCCCAAATAGGCAAGGTGAGCTACTGCAGTGCAATGGCTCTCAAACGGAAGTGCAGGGGGACTTCAGGCGAGGCAACGTATTTGTTCAGACTTAAGTCCCGAGGCAGCTGTGCCCGACCAAAAAACCCTACTGCCTCAAGTTGCATCATTACCTGAGTCTGTCTGCTCTACTGTGGCTGATGCGTTCTCTGCCGCAGCCTTCTTTCAGCTCGCGGCGGTCGCAGTGAAGAGAGATGCCAGCCGATGCAGCTTCTGTGATGATGGCGAAATGCTTGGCGCCCGTCTGGAAGGCACGTTGCTCTGCCACGTTCACCGACTCTACGCCAGCAACGCCTTGGTTCCGTGGGCGGCGGACTGCGCGCGCTTGACGGAGCTGTCGTTTCACCTCGCCGGAGGCAGGGTCCTTCGTGCAGGCGCTTCCAGCTACAAAACAAGATTATCCGCCTCCAAGCCCTAGCACGAGCAGACTCCCGATTGTAGGCCCTGAAGCTGAAGCAAATTCATGTAGTCTTTTCGGAAGGAGTCCTTGCAGCTTCGCTGACTTCGCCCCGACATCTCCGCCACTCGTGAGGGCCCGCCGAGCCGGCAGATCAACTCATCCAGTGGGTTCGGTGGCCTTACGACCGGAGAAAATTGAAAGAGAGAGCCCTCATTCACAAGATTTCACAAGCACAAGCACCAATCATCAAATTGGGTAGGGTGATGCCAAGGGTCAGCTTTAGCTGCCTCAGTCGCTGTAGCATGCCAGCCACCGCTTCCGTGGCCCAAGGCATGTCCTGGCAGTGTCCACACGTCTCAGCCTCTAGGCTTCAGACGGATGGATCTGATGAAAGAGCTAGACTGCCACTAGACTACCCACCGCTTGTCCTGGCCGCCCTTGGTCGTGGGCAGATGCGTGGTAAACCTGGCGCTTCTCTCTCTCTCACGGGAACCAGCTACCTACTGCAGGTGGATGCTTCCTGCAAGGGACTAAACGAATTGTCCTTTGTCTGCCCTGGAAAATGGACGCTTTGTTAAGGTACCCGGGATCACGGGAGGAGTGGAGTAGTACACTGCAAGCCCATCCCGGCTGTGCTCTTGCATTCTTTCGCCCCCCCCCATACCCAGACTTCCCTCCAAGCAGCTGCTCGAAGGTCAGCTCCGGCCCAGAAGCGAAGGAGTCAACAGAACAGCCAGTGCCTTGATGCCTCATGGGGGTTTACGATGATAGGGCTACCTTATTGGGTCCTCCTATTTCTGCAGCACCATTGGATCCTACTATTTGGGTGTCTATATTAGGGGTCCCTTACTGTCGTAAAGGGAAGAACACCCCACACACCTAGAGATTGCACTCTTGAACGTACATCTTTATGATCTGTACATGCACTGTACTACGCTGATTTACCTGCCGGAATGCTTTGTGTGCATTTTCGGAACGGCTTACTTTTGGTCGAAGGCCTGTTGATGGCTGCCTCGTTGGTGGTCCACAATGAAAGAACCACAGCTTCTCCGGCTTCGCGCGCCTACAGGAGTACTCGAAACACTGGGTGGCGGTGACGTGCTTTGACTTTGTGTGACCCCTTAGAATAAAGTTTGAGGGATCGTCCGTCGCGCAGCCTCATGGGCAATCTCGACCGCCTTCGACACTTTAGCAGACACGAGCAAGCCTTTGAAGAAACCTTCGGCGACAACGCGGGCTTTGCTACACTTATGAAGTCCAAAGCTAGCAAGGGTTAGAAGCCGTAAATGGATATTGGAGAGTTCAAAATAGATGTTGAAAACGAGCCCTAAAACCACATCCATTTCTGGTCTGACATGAAAATGGGCAGAAAATGGATCTGCTCCTCGTTGCTGATCTGCTCTGAACGGTTGTGGGTAGCTGGATCTCTGTACAGCGTGCTCTGGGGCGGCAGCCTCTGGACGCTAGAAGCTTCAAATTTTGAATTGAAGCATAAGTAGATTTCTTGCAACTCTGCAACTCCAGAAAGCCAACGCGGCGCTTCACTCTTCCAAACGGTTCTTTCTTGTGGTCATGGAAAAATAAAGAATAAAGCTTCTCCACCCTTCCCCTGATAATCTCCTCGAACGTCATACACACACCCTCCTGACACCCAGCTTTGTGCGGGGTGTGAAAAGATTTGCTTGGGCCTTGCAGTGCAGGATTGGTGATGCCTTTGCTGCTGCCTGTCGAGGGGAATCCCGTGCTGTGGCATGGAAGCGATGGAGTCTTAGAGGCAACTGGCAGTTGATGGCATCAATCCATCTTGTGTTGTTGGACCGTCACGTGTCTATGGGCGCGCATTTGACGAGGCCGGAGGGGAGCATCACGAGCATCAGCTGGGAATATTTCTGGACACAGGGCCCTCCTGGACGCCAGGCGTTGCAAAACCAACTGCCCGAGTGACTGCGCGCATTTGACGAGGCAGGAGGGGAGCATCACGAGCATCAGCTGGGAATATTTCTGGACAGTGACTGCGCGCATTTGACGAGGCAGGAGGGGAGCATCACGAGCATCAGCTGGGAATATTTCTGGACACAGGGCCCTCCTGGACGCCAGGCGTTGCAAAACCAACTGCCCGAGTGACTGCGCGCATTTGACGAGGCAGGAGGGGAGCATCACGAGCATCAGCTGGGAATATTTCTGGACACAGGGCCCTCCTGGACGCCAGGCGTTGCAAAACCAACTGCCCGAGTGACTGCGCGCATTTGACGAGGCAGGAGGGGAGCATCACGAGCATCAGCTGGGAATATTTCTGGACACAGGGCCCTCCTGGACGCCAGGCGTTGCAAAACCAACTGCCCGAGTGACTGCGCGCATTTGACGAGGCAGGAGGGGAGCATCACGAGCAGGGCCCTCCTAGACGCCAGGCGTTGCAAAACCAACTGCCCGAGTGACTGCGCGCATTTGACGAGGCAGGAGGGGAGCATCACGAGCATCAGCTGGGAATATTTCTGGCCACGGGGCCCTCCTGGACGCCAGGCGTTGCAAAACCAACTGCCCGAGTGACTGCGCGCATTTGACGAGGCAGGAGGGGAGCATCACGAGCATCAGCTGGGTATATTTCTGGCCACAGGGCCCTCCTGGACGCCAGGCGTTGCAAAACCAACTGCCCGAGTGACTGTGCGCATTTGACGAGGCAGGAGGGGAGCATTACGAGCATCAGCTGGGTATATTTCTGGCCACAGGACCCTCCTGGACGCCAGGCGTTGCAAAACCAACTGCCCGAGTGACTGCGCACTTGACGAGGCAGGAGGGGAGCATCACGAGCATCAGCTGGGAATATTTCTGGCCACAGGGCCCTCCTGGATGCTAGGCGTTGCAAAACCAACTGCCCGAGTCACTGCGTGCATTTGACGAGGCAGGAGGGGAGCATCACGAGCATCAGCTGGGTATATTTCTGGCCACAGGGCCCTCCTAGACGCCAGGCGTTGCAAAACCAACTGCCCGAGTGACTGCGCGCATTTGACGAAGCAGGAGGGAGCATCACGAGCATCAGCTGGGTATATTTCTGGCCACAGGGCCCTCCTGGACGCCAGGCGTTGCAAAACCAACTGCCCGAGTGACTGCGCGCATTTGACGAGGCAGGAGGGGAGCATCACGAGCATCAGCTGGGAATATTTCTGGCCACAGGGCCCTCCTGGACGCCAGGCGTTGCAAAGCCAACTGCCCCAGTGACTGCGCGCATTTGGCGAGGCAGGAGGGGAGCATCACGAGCATCAGCTGGTATATTTCTGGCCACAGGGCCCTCCTGGACGCCAGGCGTTGCAAAACCAACTGCCCGAGTGACTGCGCGCATTTGACGAGGCAGGAGGGGAGCATCACGAGCATCAGCTGGGTACCACAGGGCCCTCCTGGACGCCAGGCGTTGCCACACAACTGCCCGAGTGACTGCGCGCGTTTGACGAGGAAGGAGGGCAGCATCACGAGCATCAGCTGGGAATATTTCTGGCCACAGGACCCTCCTGGACGCCAGGCGTTGCAAAACCAACTGCCCGAGTGACTGCGCGCGTTTGACGAGGCAGGAGGGGAGCATCACGAGCATCAGCTGGGAATATTTCTGGCCACAGGGCCCTCCTAGACGCCAGGCGTTGCAAAACCAACTGCCCGAGTAACTGCGCGCATTTGACGAGGCAGGAGGGGAGCATCAGGAGCATCAGCTGGGAATATTTCTGGCCACAGGGCCCTCCTGGACGCCAGCATCAGCTGGGTATATTTCTGGCCACAGGGCCCTCCTGGACGCCAGGCGTTGCAAAACCAACTGCCCGAGTGACTGCGCGCATTTGACGAGGCAGGAGGGGAGCATCACGAGCATCAGCTGGGAATAATTCTGGCCACAGGGCCCTCCTGGACGCCAGGCGTTGCAAAACCAACTGCCCGAGTGACTGCACGCATTTGACGAGGCAGGAGGGGAGCATCACGAGCATCAGCTGGGTATATTTCTGGCCACAGGGCCCTTCTGGACGCCAGCCGTTGCAAAACCAACTGCCCGAGTGACTGCGCGCATTTGACGAGGCAGGAGGGGAGCATCACGAGAATCAGCTGGGTATATTTCTGGCCACAGGGCCCTCCTGGACGCCAGGCGTTGCAAAATCAACTGCCCGAGTGACTGCGCGCATTTGACGAGGCAGGAGGGGAGCATCACGAGCATCAGCTGGGAATATTTCTGGCCACAGGGCCCTCCTGGACGCCAGGCGTTGCAAAACCAACTGCCCGAGTGACTGCGCGCATTTGACGAGGCAGGAGGGGAGCATCACGAGCATCAGCTGGGTATATTTCTGGCCACAGGGCCCTCCTGGACGCCAGGCGTTGCAAAACCAACTGCCCGAGTGACTGCGCGCATTTGACGAGGCAGGAGGGGAGCATCACGAGCATCAGCTGGGTATATTTCTAGCCACGGGGCCCTCCTGGACGCATTTGACGAGGCAGGAGGGGAGCATCACGAGCATCAGCTGGGTATATTTCTGGCCACAGGGCCCTCCTGCACGCCAGGCGTTGCAAAACCAACTGCCCATTTGACGAGGCAGGAGGGGAGCATCACGAGCATCAGCTGGTATATTTCTGGCCACAGGGCCCTCCTGGACGCCAGGCGTTGCAAAACCAACTGCCCGAGTGACTGCGCGCATTTGACGAGGCAGGAGGGGAGCATCACGAGCATCAGCTGGCCACAGGGCCCTCCTGGACGCCAGGCGTTGCAAAACCAACTGCCCGAGCGACTGCGCGCATTTGACGAGGCAGGAGGGGAGCATCACGAGATAATTTCTGGCCACAGGGCCCTCCTGGACGCCAGGCGTTGCAAAACCAACTGCCCGAGTGACTGCGCGCATTTGACGAGGCAGGAGGGGAGCATCAGCATCAGCTGGGAATATTTCTGGCCACAGGGCCCTCCTGGACGCCAGCCGTTGCAAAACCAACTGCCCGAGTGACTGCGCGCATTTGACGAGGCAGGAGGGGAGCATCACGAGCATCAGCTGGGAATGTTTCTGGCCACAGGGCCCTCCTGGACGCCAGGCGTTGCAAAACCAACTGCCCGAGTGACTGCGCGCATTTGACGAGGCAGGAGGGGAGCATCATGAGCATCAGCTGGCAATATTTCTGGCCACAGGGCCCTCCTGACGCCAGGCGTTGCAAAACCAACTGCCCGAGTGACTGCGCGCATTTGACGAGGCAGGAGGGGAGCATCACGAGCATCAGCTGGGAATATTTCTGGCCACAGGGCCCTCCTGGACGCCAGGCGTTGCAAAACCAACTGCCCGAGTGACTGCGCGCATTTGACGAGGCAGGAGGGGAGCATCACGAGCATCAGCTGGGAATATTTCTGGCCACAGGCCCCTCCTGGACGCCAGGCGTTGCAAAACCAACTGCCCGAGTGACTGCGCGCATTTGACGAGGCAGGAGGGGAGCATCACGAGCATCAGCTGGGAATATTTCTGGCCACAGGGCCCTCCTGGACGCCAGGCGTTGCAAAACCAACTGTCCGAGTGACTGCGCGCATTTGACGAGGCAGGAGGGTAGCATCACGAGCATCAGCTGGGAATATTTCTGGCCACAGGGCCCTCGTGGACGCCAGGCGTTGCAAAACCAACTGCCCGAATGACTGCGCGCATTTGACGAGGCAGGAGGGGAGCATCATGAGCATCAGCTGGGAATATTTCTGGCCACAGGGCCCTCCTAGACGCCAGGCGTTGCAAAACCAACTGCCCGAGTCATTGCACGCATTTGACGAGGCAGGAAGGGAGCATCACGAGCATCAGCTGGGAATATTTCTGGCCACAGGGCCCTCCTAGACACCAGGCGTTGCAAAACCAACTGCCCGAGTGACTGCGCGAATTGGACGAGGCAGGAGGGGAGCATCATGAGCATCAGCTGGGTATGTTTCTGGCCACAGGGCCCTCCTAGATGCCAGGCGTTGCAAAACCAACTGCCCGAGTGACTGCGCGCATTTGACGAGGCAGGAGGGGAGCATCACGAGCATCAGCTGGGTATATTTCTGGCCACAGGGCCCTCCTAGACGCCAGGCGTTGCAAAACCAACTGCCCGAGTGATTGCGCGCATTTGACGAGGCAGGAGGGGAGCATCATGAGCATCAGCTGGGTATATTGCCGGCCACAGGGCCCTCCTAGACGCCAGGCGTTGCAAAACCAACTGCCCGAGTGACTGCGCGCATTTGACGAGGCAGGAGGGGAGCATCATGAGCATCAGCTGGGTATGTTTCTGCCCGCAGGGCCGTCCTAGACGCCAGGCGTTGCAAAACCAACTGCCCGAGTGATTGCACGCATTTGACGAGGCAGGAAGGGAGCATCATGAGCATCAGTTGGGAATATTTCTGGCCACAGGGCCCTCCTAGACGCCAGGCGTTGCAAAACCAACTGCCCGAGTGATTGCGCGCATTTGACGAGGCAGAAGGGGAGCATCATGAGCATCAGCTGGGTATGTTTCTGGCAACAGGGCCCTCCTAGACGCCAGGCGTTGCAAAACCAACTGCCCGAGTGACTGCGCGCATTTGACGAGGCAGGAGGAGAGCATCATGAGCATCAGCTGGGAATATTTCTGGTGACAGGGCCATCCTAGACGCCAGGCGTTGCAAAACCAACTGCCCGAGTGACTGCGCGCATTTGACGAGGCAGGAGGGGAGCATCATGAGCATCAGCTGGGTATATTTCTGGCCACAGGGCCCTCCTAGACGCCAGGCGTTGCAAAACCAACTGCCCGAGTGATTGCGCGCATTTGACGAGGCAGGAGGGGAGCATCATGAGCATCAGCTGGGTATATTGCCGGCCACAGGGCCCTCCCAGACGCCAGGCGTTGCAAAACCAACTGCCCGAGTGACTGCGCGCATTCGACGAGGCTGGAGGGGAGCATCACGAGCATCAGCTGGGTATATTTCTGGCCACAGGGCCCTCCTAGACGCCAGGCGTTGCAAAACCAACTGCCCGAGTGACTGCGCGCATTTGACGAGGCAGGAGGGGAGCATCATGAGCATAAGCTGGGAATATTTCTGGCCACAGGGCCCTCCTGGACGCCAGGCGTTGCAAAACCAACTGCTCGAGTGATTGCGCGCATTTGACGAGGCAGGAGGGGAGCATCATGAGCATCAGCGGGGTATATTTCCGGCCACACGGCCCTCCTGGACGCCAGGCGTTGCAAAACTAACTGCCCGAGTGATTGCGCACATTTGACAAGGCTGGAGGGAATCTTCATGAGCATCAGGTGGGTATATTTCTGGCCACAGGGCCCTCCTAGACGCCAGGCGTTGCAAAACCAACTGCCCGAGTGATTGCGTGCATTTGACGAGGCAGGAGGGGAGCATCACGAGCATCAGCTGGGTATATTTCTGGCCGCAGGGCCCTCCTAGACGCTAGGCGTTGCAAAACCAACTGCCCGAGTGATTGCGCGCATTTGACGAGGCAGGAGGGGAGCATCATGAGCATCAACCCCTCCTAGATGCCAGGCGTTGCAAAAACCAACTGCACGTGTGATTGCGCGCATTTGACGAGGCAGGAGGGGAGCGTCATGAGCATCAGCTGAGTATATTTCTGGCCACAGGGCCCTCCTAGACGCCAGGCGTTGCAGAACCAACTGCCCGAGTGGGGCCCCACGGGCACATCCGTTTCTACATCCATTTTCCCTGGGAGAATGGACGTAAACTGGATGTAGAGGATTGACGTCCCCAAACAAACCGATGTAAAATGGATGTAGCAAATGGACGTGCCTGCGGGCCCGGTGCAGAAAAATGGACGCAGAATGGACATGGGACATGTCTCCGAGAGCCAGGGGTTGGGTTAGGGTGGGGGTTGGGGGTGGGTGGAGGTGCAGCGACGGGATCGAGTGGAGAGTGGAGGTGGGGTCGAGCGTGGGCCCCAAGGATGTCCAAACATGCGATACAAAAGACGAGTCTTTGGCTACTAGGGGGCTTGACCGTGTTGACGTTGAAGAACCCCTAGAACCGAAGTTGGTGCTTGCCAGTGAAAGAGAGGCATCCTGAAGGCAGAAGCTTCGCTGGGGTTTTCGACCCTCACAACGAGCGCGCACGCAGCCAACACTGGCCCAGACTTGGAAACTAAGAATTGGGGCGTAGGTTTTCAGGGTCCTTGGGCTCATGGACCGGGACAGAACAGAAGCTTGGAGGTCTCGATTTTCAGATGTAGGGTTGGCCATTTCTACCTTGGCCATGCTTGTGTTCAAAAAAATAGCTGCAGCATCATTCCCATTCATTGCTTTCAAAAACAAGGGATGTTTTATCCACATTTTTCCGAACCCAAGAACGGATGCCCACTCCACACCTTCATTTCGCAGCCACTGTGATGGCTTGATCATTCCAGCTTTGGACCTCATAACGCTACTCATTGACATGCGTCGCATTCACTCCCTGCGATTGATTGCAAGGTCAGTTCGATAGCTTGGGAAGGCGTGATTCGAGAAACTATACAGCGCAAATTCGGGAGCTGCAAAGTACGCATTCGGCGAGCAAAAAACACTTGGATACTGCGGCTTCGGAAACCGCTAAGCTGGGAAACTGGAGAATGCGGAGCCAACCACGCCATCGCGAACAGACTGCATCCAGGCAAGCTATGGCAAGCCTAAGCCATCACCTCGACACCCCAACTCCACCACGCCATCGCGAACAGAATGCATCCATGCAAGCTATGGCAAGCCTAAGCTATCACCTCGACACCCCAACTCCACTCCCCAACGTCCCCAACATGCCTTCCCCCCCCCCCCCCCCCCCCGCCGTTTTCAGAATCAGCAGGTTTCCCGGCTGCTTGTTGCAGGGATGCATGTTGTCGAAGTGAGTGTGCTGGCAGGGCCAAAGCCAAAGCGAACGTTATCCTTGCCCCCTCCGCCGACTGAATCGAAGAATTTCATGAATGACGTGATGGCACCGGTTTCTTGATTTCGAACAAAGGATCTCGAATCGCGGACATGCAATTTCCTGAATGAGGGGAGGTGCACACCAGACTTCGCATGAAAGGAAGGCGCTACTGTGGTCGAATCAAAGCCCTGTGGAGTGCGTGAGAGCAAAACCTGTGAATCGCGACAAACTCGGTACGTCAATGGAAGCCAGGCAGCGCTGTTGGGCTGCCCAAAACTGGGACTCAAGAATCCGTCTCGTCTTCTCTGAGGAGAACATGTCCATATCGACGAGCAATTCCATGTGCTGCCGAAGATCACACCACAACTCCACTGCAGCATCGTACCTTCTGCCATTTCTAGCACCAACAACTCAAGCAGCGCAGTTGCGGCATGTACGCGCATGGCATGGGGCAGTTGTCAGATGTACGAAGGGCCCCTTCGCACAAACCCGTGTCTGAATGCAAGAATGGATCCGCTTGGACATTGTTACACAGTCTGCACCGTTCAGCAAGTAGAACTAAGTAGAGGAGACAGTGCTCTTGAGTCGAATGCGGCTGAGGCGCTGCTCGATTTCAGCCGTGCTCAAGGCAGCCGTGCACAGCTCGAACTTGGTGCCGCTGTAAGACAATGATCGACAGGAGATGGAGCCCAGAAGGCGAAGCTGCACCGCTACAAGCTCCATCGCTGTAACCCCGCCCCTCTCGACAACTTTCCTAAAAGATGCGAAGTTGGGGAAGGGCGGCTTCTGCACATTCTGCTCCCCAGTTCCGGGCTCTCCCCAGAGCCCGAGCCTGACCATGTATTGCATATGGGATACTTCTGTCGCACCGGTGGCCGTCGAATACAGCACTGGGCAGTTCGCGCATTTCTCTTGCAGTTCCTCTACCAGCTCAGCGCAGCGGGTTCCAGCATCCAAGTTTTTTGCCTTGTGGGCTTCGTCAAGAACGATTAGCCCACCTCCCTTTGCTTGCCGGTGGCAGAGCCAGGCAAGCAGCTGCTGAAACCGGGAAAGGTGGGACTTGTTCTTGGAGGACCCTCCTGCCACAAAACACATTCTCTAACGTCTGGCACGAGTGTGTGACCAAGGTGTGTCCCAGTGGTTACCTTGCAACATCGCACGCCTGTCCTGGCGACACCAGCAGGGCGTAGGTCAAGAACAAGACTCCATCCTGGCAAGCTCGAGAGCTGGGAGGGCAAGTTCGCTTGGATGCGCTTCGCACCTTGTTCTTGCCAAGCTTGGCGAGCTCTGGGTCTGCGGTGTGTGGAGCGTCAAGCTTGCCACGAGCCCGGACACGTGCCAAGTTGCACACCTCAAGGCAACAACACTCTTTGAGACTACAATGCTCCCGAAAATTTCTGCAAGCCAGGGCAGCCAGGCCGCTGGAATTCCAGATCTCAGATCCTGCATATCCCGTAAGGCATCTTGGTACAGGTCCGCAGTAGCTGAGAGCCACCTGAGCCCATCAGTGGCGGTGATGGCAAGGCTTTGAGCATTCGGGTGCATCCTTTGCGAGTGATCTGCTGCTTTACTACAAGTAAGTGTTTCAAGCATTCAAACATCCAACTGCCCCAGCCCTGCGAGATTTGGGGCTCAGGGCTTGCGCTCTTTTTAAGGCTCTCTCTGCCACTGCATCCCGAAGGTCCCACTGCGGGGGGTTGCCCACAATGATTTCTTGCCAAATCCTCTGCAAAGGCAATGTAGACTACTGACTTGATCTGCAGCTTCGGTGCACGTGGCGTCGGTTGCCAGCATTCCACTGGTCTAAGATGAGGGCACCGATGCAGCGACCTCTCTCTCCGCTCAGCACGGGGCGACAGGAAGTTAAACTCCACATCACTCCATCCCATCCGTCATTCGGTGCCTTTACCACAGCCGGTGCCGTCTCCCAGCAGGAAGCCACAACGGGCACCGGATGGGAGACTCAGCAGGAAGCGACGAGACGCCAGAGCCACGGCCTGGTCGCTGAGCACGGGGAGAGGTGCACAACGGTGCACACATACCAGGGCGCTCCAGGCCTCCAGCTGTGGCGACGAGATCATTCCAGCTTCCACAAGGCTGAGAGGAATACGGATCTCGTCCTGGCCAGAGGCATTGGGTAAAATGGGGTAACAACCTTGCGTAGGAGTAAGAGCCCCAGCCCACATCCTTCATGGAGAAGGGCTCTGGCTTTGTGTCTCGAATCGCTTGCGGCTCGCAAAGGGGATCGGGGTGATCAATGCCTGCGAGCAGGGTCATGTGGAGTCGTCACGGGATTTTCCTTTTTGAGATGGCGCCTACGCCGTCTGCCAGCATCGAACTGCGTCGGAACAGCACTAGACGAGCTTTGTTGGGATGGTCGTCGTCCTCCTCCTCCTCCTCCGGGTGATTTGCTCGACTCATTCAGAGCTGTGTACTACTCATCTGCAGCCCTCAAGCAGTCGAGTGTTAGCCGGCACCTGGCCTGGACATCATCCCTTTTTTCCAGCAGTTCGCACTCTGGCCCTTCAAAGGGTTCAACCGCGGATGTCTGTCTTCCACCGGGGCATGCCGGAAACACCCACACTTCAGAGCCAGGAGGTGGAGCTGAAGCTTTGGAACCTCGTGGGGGGCATGAATTTGGAGGTGGTGTCTTTGACAGTTGCGCGATGCTTTCACATGATGACCACCACCCATGCGCTCACACTTCGCCGCTTCCCATCATATCCCCCGATGTCGCCTGCGCGGCATCACACCTTTTACACCTTTTGGACTTTCACCTTTTGGACTCGACGACACTCCTAGCATTTTAAAGCGCCGGACCTGGCGACAAGAAGCTGGAGTCGCTTCTGGCGTTCCCTGCTTGTCCTTACAACACAGTACACAGCTCTGAGACATCGTGAAAATCGAGGATTCGAGACTTGGAGACACTGGGGCGCCGTCTACCGAGTGACCGCCTCGGAAAGGACCAGATCTTCGCAGGCGAGGAAGCGTGCTTGCGGACCGGCTTGCGAGGCGTGAGGACAGCTCCTGACTCTTGAAAGCTTGGCGACATTTTCTTGACGGCCATCAGCTGTGCGGTGCCTTCCCGCTGGGTGCCTGGCTGTCATTCGGGTCATTTACCTCCTCCTGGCTGCTGAGCAAGTCGATTTCCACTGACTTCGTTCTGGAAAGCCTCGGATTGTCGGATTGGATCTCAAAGCTTCGTCTGATCCCCTTGCAAGGTGTATAGAAGGGCACATCGCTGCGGCGAGGGAGCTGACGGAACATTCCAGGCGCAGCATGCTTTCACCGACGGCCATTCGTTCGGGCTTGTCTGCGAAAGCCGGAATTGTAGTGTGCTTGGCTGACAGTTTCGGATACCATGATGCCCGGTGACTCGCATGTACGGTTCAGAAGGATAGGTAGACTCGACGCTTGCGGACAATGGTTTCGCACTGGTTCACAAGGGGTCTTTTTGCCCAAGGGCGTTTTTAACTCTACAATCTTCTGCTCACCTGCTACACATGATGGCCCATCATGTTTGATTCTACCTGGAGCCGGTACAATGCGTCGCAAGAGTGCTACTGGCCCTGGTTGAGCACAAGGACCCTCTGAGTCCTGCAGAACTGCAGAACCCTCAGGCTCATGAGGCGACCGCCAACAAGCAAGCAGCAAGCCATCAGGGCCCCGCCGGGCGAGGAAGCTGTCGCGGCCACCAGCCACCGAAAAGCTGCTTACCGCCGCAGAATTGGGTTCTGAGCAGCTCAAGATCGTCCAACCAGGTCTGCCACTCAGTCAGCGGTTTCAGACCATGAATGATCTGAGTGAGCGGGTAGTCAGACGCTTGATCTTGGCCTCAAATATTTCCTGGCCGACTTCCGAACACAGAAACAAAACGGCTAACTTGAGCGGAGATGTTGGTGCAGTTGGTTGTCGAAGGGACCCGACTTGGATCTCTCAGGACAAGCCAGGACCAGAGGCCTTGCCTTCCAGGCTCCAGGGGAGTCTCCGGAGTTTACTTCCTTCCCACATAAAACGGAACAATCTTCTAGCGCCTCTCTTGGAACAGGTGTGCCTGACTTTCGCCTCCTGAACCCCAAAGCTACAAGCTCGAGCGTTCCAGGTTCGTAGACATCGGTGTCCTTTCGAACACTTGTCCACAGATAGCCCCTTAATGCTCGGCAAAGATGCCTGAGGCGAAGAATCGGCTCAAACATGTTTGTCGGACATGCTCGGGGCAAAAAAGGCATCGCCCCCAATCCAGCCATGTCGTCCTAGCCATGAGTGTGGCCATCACGGCTCCGTCCAGACCTCTTCCAACCGACTCGTCCGTCGTTTCGATGATTTGACATACTCGGTGCATTCTCAAGTCTACATCCTTGGAACCTTCTTCAAGGTCAAAGTAGAATCCACATCTCTGCCACACACGCGGCAAGCTGCCAATGTTCCTGATATACCTGACCATGGTCACGACAGTATGTACCACATTATAGGAGCCCTGGTCTGCAACCCAAGCCGGCTCGAACATGGTTGGACATACCGGCACCGTGCTTCAAAGCCGCTGGTACCTTGCCACCATATCACAGAGATGAAAGATCCTTGCTGACCATGACTTGCAAACACCCACTGCTGCCTATCATGTCTGTCTGAGTCTACTTGGAGCCACCAATCACAAGCGACCGCGATTCTCGCAACGGGTGCTTAGGTGTCATCCGTTTCTTGCTTAGCTGCGCACAGAGGTGCAGAGAAGGTGAAGCGGCACGTTTATATCGATCCCGAAGAGCACGATGGTCTAGAAACACTCCTGTCAAGCGCCTTGCTGCTGAATCCATGAAGAGTGCGGACTGTTGCTTTCTCAGTGTGTCAACTCCGGCCCGCACTGTATGCCAATAGCTGCATAACCAAAGTGTTTGGTTTCACTTGCACAATCTGGAAGCCAGCCTGACGTGGCTGGACAAGCAAGGGCGCCCGACTGCGATATTAATTCCAGCATCTTCAAACGTCTGTGACAGACTGTCCGCGCAGTCCGGTGACATATGGAGCAAGTGGCCACCAAACAGCACAATCATGATGAGGCTTACATGCACACACAACGAAATACCGATACACTAATGATGTACTGCAACGCACGGCCTTGCTCTGTCTGGACAGCTGTGCGCTGTTCTAAAAAGAGTGTGGCTGGAACTGGTACAGATTAGCAAGGCAGTATTCGTCCACCCATGTCCACCCCCATGCATGTTTTTATACTGCAAGTTTGTTGCCTGCGCTTAGCCACGCCCCGCACGAAGCACACGCTGTGTAACTCTTGTACTTCGCGAAATTCTGTACAAAGCTTCCTCACAAAGGACCGTTCCGTGCCGCGTTCAGCATCTGCCGGCGGCAAGCTACTGAATTCATAAGTACTGAAATTGCTTTGAGGCACGGAGCCGAGCCGCTCGTACGTACGCGAGCATACTGATTCCTGCACGAGCACATCATGACAGCAAGTCCTAGGGAGTGTGCGATGAATGCCCATCTACCTACCTTCATTCTTCGATTCCTTCTTGCGTGCCCTCCAGGCAACGTGATGAGCGTGGGACAGAATTCGCTGCTTGAAATCCGCGCCAAAATTCGCGGTCACACCGATGTCTGCCTCCGAAGCCCCTAGGGACCTAGGAAACTGGCAGGCTGCTCTCAGATGCAACACTTATGCGGCCTAGCGTGGAGACTGTGCAAAGGCAAGTCTCGGGATCTACGATTCGACTTTTGAAAAACATGCTGCCCGAAGCACTGGAAGAAGTGACTCGCACAAAACAAACCACGAACAATCACATAGCACATGGCACATGGACCCCAATGCTGAAGTCAGTATTTGCGCCTTCTTAGGTAATGATTCCACACTTCCAGGCATGTTCCGACAACGTTGGCATGGTGCGGGCAGCAAGATGATGTCACAATCCCGCGAAAAATGCGTTAAGCATTTTGCTGAGGGGCACAGTGGCTTGTCCAGTATACCCTGTCTCTTAGGACCTTCAGAATGTGCAAGAACCACACTTCACGGCGGGAGAGTGGCATCACTCGGCACCTCGTGTAAACAGATCGCAAACAGCCACACTCACACTCAGGTCTAATCGAAAGGGGAACGACAACCAGGAGCGTCAGCAAGAATGCGTTTTCTCGGTCCAAGCGGCCGAGCTGACAATTAAACGTTCTATGCCAGCCTCACTAGACGGGCACTCCGCCCCCAAATGGCCCGCAGCAAATGTACAAGCAGCCTCAGTTGGCCAAAAGTAGTAACTACGAGTACCCGAGAATACTTAACACAGCGGAGCTTCAACAAGAACATCGCGCCAAGACAGATCGTTGTCTGCCCTGCTTGCTGAGCCTGGTAGTCTTCGAAGATGGGGCGCAGCCAACACGGCATTCACTGGTTCATGCGTACTCACGAATCTCGAAGAGAGCTGGCAGCGCGAGGCGAATCTGTAGAGCTCTCTCTCCCAAGCAAGGCACATGCGCGACATGGTCAATGGTCGAGGATGTTTTGTTGGCGCCGTGTGCATTCTGCGGCGATCTTGTCGCTGCCTTTGTGGCTCTGCGATGCTTTGGGTGTGGCGCAGAATCTCCATGCAGCCTCAAGATATCGAGCCTTCACCGTAACCCCTTGGAACGAATCGCCAGGGTCCGCATTGTCCGCATGCTGCTCTTGAAGTGCAGAACTGTCGTCACGTGTGGGCTTGGCTCGTGCGCCTTCGGCGCCGTGTGCATGATCCTTGTGAAATGCGAAGCTGGTGATGCTTGTGGTGGGCCTCGCTCGTGACACATTGTCTTGGAATGCTTTGGGGGTCATGAGGAGTGCTCTGGGGTGCACTTGGAATGCTCGATCTTCTTGGTCTTACGTTTTCCCGTTAGAAAGCTTCCGCTCCAGGTGACATGCACTTTTACATCTTCAGCTCCAGAATGCCACATGCTGTTTGGAGAGTCGACAGGGTCAACAATGTGATGTGTTGCGACGTTCTATACCCTGTGAAGCTGTTACGAGCTGATGGTACAAGTAAGAATTCAGTTCCGTGATGTATTGTCGACAGGGATGCATAGCTGGAAGTGGGCAACAGTGAGCACAAATCCGCGGAGATTGTGCCCGTTTAAACAGTCAGGCTGTGATTTTTTTGGGTCAAGGCCTCTACGTGTACTCCAAACCAGTCATGAATTCTGGGCATGCTTGACTGGAGATCTCTGTGCACGCATGTACAAAAGATGTACAAGCGAAGGACATCAGCTCAAGTTCTGGCACCCTGGACTCGTTCTCTTTCAGCCTCTTGCTCTTTCTTTATCAACGGGACAGCAAAGCAGGTGTAAGATCTTCCAAAAAAAGAAGAAAAGCAAAGCTGAGCACTGCAGCCGCCAAGCACCGGGCACTTCAAACGGCTTGGGATGAGGACAACTGTCCCCTTCAGATGCTGCTCAAAAGCACTCGGAGCCTCGCCACTTTCTGTCCAATCACTGCATCAACTAAAAGAATTGGGGATGGCTTCTGAGCTTCTGCACAACTGGACGTGACCAAATGTGAGGTTTACTGGGGCACTCGCCTTTGGCTCCAAGTGTCTGGTTCCGGCATTCCGGCATGCATCATCTCAGAATCACACGTCAGCGCCGCTTTCACACCACAGGCCTCCCGTACCGCCAGGTCCGCCCGGCATCTGCCCTCAGATCCAGGCTGCCATGTTTCGTCATGCCTTTGACGCCTTTGGCCTGGCCAAGGAATACGCCCTTTCTGGCTCAAATTCACGAGTCTCAAGAGCGAGGGCCTGCCCGCAGCAAGGCCTCAAGTCTGCTCCAAGTCTCAAACTGCACCGAACTCAGGTCGATGTCCTGGGAGCCCTGCTGCGTGCCATGTCCCGGAAACGACGGCAGGCGGCATGGGTCATGCCTAGCCTGTCAGCTGGAGCAAGATTTAAGGGAAAGCCCCAAGAATCCCAAAGACTGACGGCCCAAAGGCGTTCAATTCACTGTCTGGTCCTGCTGTTGATGCCATCAAACAGGATTGCGACCTGGCGCTGGACATGCTCAGCTCGCACGCTTCGAAAAACGGGCGTTGCCCACGTTGTATGTCATGTGGGTAGATGCTGTATGTCAGAACTATCCTAAAGCTCCTTCCTTTCCTGCTTGCTACTGCATGCGACCTCCTGCTCGTTGGCATACGGGGCGCAGTGCATGATCATGGATTGGACACCTGGTGGCGGGTCGGGAGGCATTTCCGGTCAAAGGCACAAGACCCACGGAGGGTTGGGAGAAAGCCCCACGAGCCTTCCCGGCTTGCTTCGAAGCCAAACCTGCCGGGCAATGCCGGGCCATTTAGTAAAGGGTCTCAAACTTGTTAATAGGGGCCTTTTTTCACAAAGGTGCCTTGAGCCTTGCACAGGGCCCAGTGAATCCTAAGTTGCGAAGGGGAAGCCCATCGCCTGGGCAGGATCAGCCGCTGGACTGTGAGGGCCAGCTGAGCTCGACCTGCACCAACTACGATGTCTAAGCTGCGGTTTGCTCGGATACATGTCTTTTTCGCTGACAGAGCTTTCGTGTCAGAGGTAGTTCAGCCTGGCAGGTGATAGAAGCCCTCCTCCGAATCAGGAGCCTCACACATGGCGACTGAGACAAGAGGATCCTCTAAGGCCGTTTATGGGAATATTCCCATAGCAATGATCTGAGCTGGGGCACAGGCTTTCAACTTCAGAGCCCTGATGGACTTCTGAAATGCAGGGTGGCTGAAGGCCACGAGTTGGGCACGGAGGAGCTGGATGACCTGCCACACTGCCATGCTGCCATGCCAGGAATCGTCTAGCAATGCTAGTATCTGGCTCCCAAACAGTGAGAAGGGAGGCTGAGCTGTCTGCGAAGTCTTTGCAGTCCACGGAGAGGACTCAGGGTCAAGCAGGCTGGCTTTGAATCTGAACCTTTCTACGACGAATTGCCATTAGTGCGCCAACACCACCGGCCTTGACGTGGGAAGCTCTCGGAGATGCGCGGGCTGCCGAACGGGAATAGGGAGGGTTCTCTCAAACTTGACGGTTCAGGATCAAGTGGTGCCACATGCCAAAGTCGAGATATTTCAAGGCCAGCGCCAGCACTGATCTAAAGGCTACGGAGTCTAGCCGACTCTTCGCCTGTACGATCCTTGCCTATTTAGGCTATTGGCACCTCACATATACCACACACACACACACACACACACACACACACACACACACACACACACACACACACACACACACACACACACACACACACACACACACACACACACACACACACACACACACACACACACACACACACACCAACACACACACACACACACACACACACACACACACACACACACACACACACACACACACACACACACACACACACACACACACACACACACACACACACACACACACACACACACACACACACTCACACACTCTCACTCACTCACTCACTCACTCACACACACACACAACACCTCATTTTCCACTCATATTTCCCAAGAACTATCTCAAACAACATACCACTTGCCCAAATCTTCAGCATCCCATTTTTCAACGAGCACACCAACAGCCCTCACCTACCAAAATCGCGCCATGTTCCCCTCAAAAACTCGACAGCTTTTGCCACGTTCTTCACCAGCCCGTTAAGAACTGCACCCCAAAAGCACTGTTCCACGATGTTTTCCATGCAAGGCCGCCCCCCCAGCAGCAACCATTGATCCACAGCCTGATCTCACCACCCGAAAAAAGATGGGTTAAACTGTTTTACCTTGCGAATGTAGAAAGCAAACTTTTCACAAAGAAACTAAGACAACCAATGAAGGTAGAACCATCATCGAAGATAGGGCTTCGTTGAAAGTAGGAAGCAGCAGAGGAGTTACCCCTGATGAAAAATGAAAGGTTCAGAAGCAACATACAAGATAACGAAGGTGCGAACACGGTGTTTACTGGATGGGAATCGCGTAAGCTTAGCGGTTTGAAAAAGTGAGGAGGATGTTGACAGGATAGACAAAGATGAATATGATGGATTCAGTCAACGATATTACTTGTTTCAAGTGAACATGCTGTGTCAGTAAACGCTCTTACAAATACACTTTGTCTTGTTCTGAATGCTAAAATAAAGCGATGGTGTTATTAGTTTTTGTAAGATGGAGACAATCACATGCACAAGATGCCACAGTGAAACACTAGCTCCGGTGGATTATCCTAGTGTTGGGTTGAGATCCTGGGGTGGATTTATCCTGGGGTGGGGCTGAGATCTTAAGATGTGTCTTATCGTAGGGTGGGGCTGGGTGGTGCCATACACCTCAATAGGCAAGGTATCCTCTAACTACGACCACCTCCATCCTACTATGTTGCTACTCGACCTCGGCACCCGGAAGAATGTGCTGGCCTGGATGGCTTGGTCTGAAGGAGAGCCTCTTTAATTGCAATCGCGTTGACGTAGATGTCGGGGTCCTGCACCCGAAGGTGCTACTGCACTGCCGATGTCAGCAGGCTACATCTGCTTCCACATGCTCTTCCTCCTTGAACGTCTCGAAGGCGGCAAGCATCTGCTCGACCTTGCAGTCCGCCAGAGAACAACACTGAGCCCAGTGCAGATAGAAGAATAAGGAGTACTGCAAGGCATCACAACGTAATGTGCATGCGGACGCTGTGGCCATGGCTCCTGCTTCGCTAGCCTCAAACCCGTACCTGTCAATAGCGGCAATAGCGGGGGCCGCGATCACACAATTCACGGGCGCTTCTAAGAAGGACCCCTCTGAATGAACGGTGAGCAGTCCAAAACGGCCGTGCGGAAGAGCCCAAACATCCAAACATTCAAACCTGAGAGGTTTTCCAGTCTGGCCTGGGGATGATCTGGCCCTGCTCCTTTCGGACCAGCCTGCGGAATGCCTCATTCAGAGTGGAAGGCATGCGGGGCTGTGACGCATGTGAGACACAACGCCACCAACACATGCTAGACGCTGCGAGATGCTCCCTTAAGCCGCATGCCGTACGATATGCCGGATCCTTGTCCTTATTTGCAGGTGTCGCGTTTGCAGTTGCTTGTTACATAAGGAGCACTTGATTGGAGAGATGTCTTCAGCTCTCGTGCAGGCCCCGTTGAGGTCGCGACGCTGGACGAGTCCTAGAATTGGACACGAAAGCTGACATGAAACTTTTGATGTCGGCTCTCAGTGAAGGCTGAGGCAGGAGCTCGGGCCAGCTCATGCAGCTTCTTCTGAAAGCGTGCGGCCTCTCTTCTTCTTGTTCTTCTTCTTCTTCTTCTTCTCCTTCTCCTTCTCCTTCTCCCGCGGGCGTGGGGTTGGAGCAGAAACCCATCCCCCGCGCACAGGTCGCGAAACCGTTACGCCGGCTCTCTCTCTCTCTCTCTCTCTCTCTTCTTTGCTTCCTGCGCTCATGGCAAACGGTCCACCGAGTCCGCTGGAGAAACCGCCTCGCGCTAGCGGATTTGCCTGGGAGCCAACACCCTTGACCTGCAAGATCAAACGTTCCCCGCGGTTCCCAGTCCGATCCGATGTGCAGGGCTGGCTGCTGGCTTTTTCGCCAGGACGAACCCCTTTCGTATGACGAGGCAACAAACAGGTGGGGTCCAGAAACTGAGGGCGCACGACGGTCTCTGGAGATGTCGAGAATTTGCTGCGCCCTCCAACGCCAGCAAAGCTTCATCTTTTGTTGGATCCTTGCAGCACCGACGTCGGTGGAGCTGGTTTGCTCTTTCGCGGACCCTTCTAAAGTGCTTTGATGATAGGCTCCGTGATTCCGTACAGTATCAGGCGCAGGGTCTGGAGTCTTCCAGGCTCGGAATATTCTTTGGAAACCGCAATGCTGTTTCCGTTCTTACTTGTGTTATCTGAAGAAACACCAGGGCAAGACCACTCTGGCAGAGGCCTGCCTCAAAATCCATTCGGTGGGCAGCACGGCATTTTGCATATGGCGCGGGCCCAGGGGTCGCTCAGAGGGGGCTCAGGGGATGATTTCGCTGAATCGGGATGAATCAGGGTTGGTGGCTTGAGTTCTGCCAAGCTCTGCCATGGTAATGGGACTCAGTGCGAAGCTGTGAAGGCTGCCAACAGCTCACACCTCAGCAGCTCCACGACAAGGCTGTGGCCGCTCTCTCGACGCCGAGCTTGCAAGTATGAACTCTGAAGCGAGCATCTGAGCTTTAGGCTGGAGAGCCAAGGCCTGTCGGCCAGTTGAAGCCATCAAAGCACACCAAAGCTATTGCGTCGTGGTGAGCTGCTGCGAGCCCTGAGACAAACTTCTGAGAAGAGCACCCGCGCTTTGGTCAACGAAGGTGCTGGAACAGGAGCCTGACAAGGGCAGATGTGTGGCCATGACTGTCAAACATGCAGCACAAGTCAAATGGATCTTCTTGGGCCAAAACCTGTGGCTTGTCTTGCTCCTGACCTTCAGATGCAGATGGTGCAAACCACTTTCGCGCTGCCGATGCTTGAAATTGCCAGATAAGGCTTGGGCCGACTGCCGACACTTCCTGTCAAGATACGCATGCGGAGATGTCTCTGCAGGAGGCAGCAAGTGATGATCCAGTGAGCCATGCGCTGCACCTTCGGTGTCTCTGCTGGCTTCTTGCAGGGCCTTACTCTTTGGTTTGGCCATTTCGTGTCAGCAGCGGCAAGCACAGGCTGCAAGCAAATGCCCTTTTGGGTGACTTCTGCGCGCAGCCGCTGGTCAAAGCGACCTGTCTGCAAGGTCTGCCTCAGGCACAGGAAACATTCAAAAACCAAGGTGCACATGCTTGGGGCATCTTGGGGGGGTGAACGTGGACAAGGCGCTTAAGCTTCGACCGCTGGATCTTGCCGCTTGTGGTCTTTGGAAACTCTGCTTCAGCAAGTGGAATCACGTGACCTGAGTTTCTTTTACCACTGAACCAGTGCAATCCCAGGCTGAACGCGGCATCTCAGGGCCGAGCTCGGAGTCAATCCGATATGCCGAACAAGCCTCGCACGGATTTGCTTCGTCACCTGATTCAGCTAAACTCGCTTCAAGTGGCTGCTTCCCTGGCAAGTCCCCAGTATCCATGGTTCCGACACGAAAGAACAAGCAGCCTCCTCCACGTCGTCGTCGTCAAGGGAAGGTCGCGGCACGAAGAATATCGCGAGTCCTGCCGCCATGCTGCATGCTAATGCTGTTGTCAGTACTTCTTTCTAGAGAGCAGTGCTTGCCCACTGATCTCCCGTTCGTGCTACACGTGCAGTGATGCATCCCGCGTTTGATATGCGTCCTTCGGTTCCAGATGTTGGATCATGGGTGGAGACCGCGGCCGTGAAAGTGGGCAGCACGCTTTCCATGGCATTCACAACATCTTCTACCTACAACTTGCAGCGAGAACGCGGTCAACCCCTATAGGTTTTGAAATAGGATCACCGCGCAACACTTGCCTCGTAGCAATAAAAGTTGGCCCCACGGACGATGATCATCTCTTTCTCTCGGCCTTGTGTGAAATGTCACGTGGGTGGCATTGGAGATCCCCAGGCCCGAGGAGACAAAAGTTCTTCGAAAAACAATAGTTCTACTCGCGAACCACCTATATGCCGCTCTCGAATCTAAGACATCTGAGAGGCAGGCCAGTGAGATAAAGCTGCCCATCTTTGATGAATCCAATGTCACCGGTGTTGAACCAATCATCTCCCACGAAGGCCTCTTTGTTGGCCTCGTCGTTGTTCAAGTACCCAGGTGTGATCACGGGACCTGCGAGATGCGCTACATCCTCGCACACTGCACTGCTTCTCAAACAGAACGCGCAGATGTGTGAATATTTGCGACTTGTCTGTGGGGCCCCCTCCTCGGATCTGAAAGCGGCCAATCTCTTGCTCCGCGAGGGTGTCGCCCTCCTCGTTGGCAATGCGGATCTCAATGCCCGGAACCGGCGGGCCGAGGTTCACAAAGGTCGGCCGGCCAAGACGGCTTGCGCCGCACGTCTGAGAAAGAGCAACTCAGCACCCTCTGGTAACACTTGTCCCTCAGTCCTCTGCGCTATGTGGAATACTTTCTGCTTAAGTGCTCACAGCGAAGGCTTGTCCAAATACGCAGGCAAAGAGGCCAAAAAAAACACACACACACACACACACACACACACACGCACACGCACACGCACACGCACACGCACACGCACA